AACTATACTTCATCCAGTGTGTGCATGACACATGTTGCAAGAGTGGGGGTTAGGATGTGTGCATGTGTGTGTTGGTGTGGGTGTAAAAGATGCAAGAGGAACACTTCACTGGAGCTCATACAGAGAAGAATTAACCAAATCTAGTTTTAGCACTCTATCTCTCTCGGCCGGACACACACATAAGTACACACACGCACACACACACACACACACACACACACACACACACACACACACACACACACACACACACACACACACACACACACACACACACACACACACACACACACACACACACATCGTAACATATGGAGATGAGGCTGAGAGCTGGCCCTGTTCAGATAAATGTACCAGACACTGCTGCTTCCAGGCTCTAATCTAATGGCTGCGTGTGTGTCAGCTCCTCTGCTTCTTTATTTGTGAGGACCAGTTTTAGTGTAGGTCAGATCTTCCATTCTTCAAAATGCCTTTGTGAAAATGTAGACTGTTGGTGATGCTGTAGTGGATTTTAGGGTGAGAAGCTAGTTAAAGTATCATCTCAATAAGGGTCTTCACAACTATGCGTCTGTGAGGGAGTAAGAGGTCCAGCAGGATTACTCTTATAATCTGCAGGAAGGACACACACCACCTACCGCTTTACTATAGATACACCATCTGTTGCTACTGCAAAATTCAAGTGTGTACAACATTAAGTTCAGATACATTTAAACTGCTTATTTCATTGTTTTTTTGTTGTTGATGGAATTGTGTTTTCTCCCAGATTAAACTCACAATTTTAAAGGTGATGTTAACTTTGTAAATTGCAACAACAACAAAAGACGCAACAGAACACTGACCATTTGGTTATGTTTTGGCAACAAAATACTTGGCTCAATTTTAAACAAGATCAAGGTTTGGATTAAAATGAAGAAGTTATAAGTAATTGAATTATAGAAGTTCATTTTCAAAAGTCTGTGTTACATAAAGAGCGTTCTCCTTGGTAGAAGTCCTGTATTTGACTTTGATCAAAAAACGCGTTGTGATACGGCCCAATATAACTGACAATGCAGTTTAGTTTAAAGGGAATTTAATTTTCAGGGGACGAGGATGCAAAATTACTACTGTCAAAATTATTCAAGTGAGATATATAAATTAGTGTAGGTGGAAAAAAACTGAGAAGAGCTCCAGAGCAAACCTCGAATGACAACATAAAGAGAAATGCTTGAGCTTGCTCTTAAAAACAATGGACTGCGTCAAACAAATACATTCACTGTATATGTAACGTTAACTTTACAATTAGGACAGAATATACACTGGTGGCACGCCTGGCAAAAATATTAAACAAAGCATCACAAAGCTGTCCTGGTTTAAAATCACGGCTGTAGTGGTGTGAGGTAGGGCTGCTCGATTATGGCAAAAATCATAATCTCGATTATTTGGGTCAATAATTGTAATTGCGATTATTAAATGCGATTATTCATTGACTTTGAAAACATCCATTTAGTGGAGAATTTTTTTTTTTAACAGTATGTTTTTAACAGTTGATTACCCTGAACTTTAAGTATAATTCAACTGAAAAACCAAAAAAAAAAAAAAGTTATTTAAAAATAAATAAATAATAATAATAAAAAAATAATCGTTTTATTTCGATTACGTTGTTTTCGTAATCGTTGCAAACCATAATCGTAATCGCGATTAAAATACGATTAATTGAGCAGCCCTAGTGTGAGGTCTCTCCTTATTTGGGCAACAAGCCGCTAGCTAAGCTAAACATATCCAACCAGATAGTCAAGGCAGAAAGATGAAACTGTCTAACACCTGGTGAGGCAAACATATATTGTATAATTTCCAAAATGTTGTATGTTGCTTTCAAAGGATCTGTTCACTCAACATATTTTCTTACCTAAGAGACCGGGTAGAGATCATCAGTGTTAGATATCTATTATGTTCAGGCCTTCAAGGCAAATTCACAAATGACTGTCTCTGGGGATCAAGTACAACTGGTGTGTTGACATCATGAGAATCCTAACAACTATTTCCTGTGTGTGAGTGTCCAGATGTCTGTGGCCTGTGGGAATGAGAGAAGTGTGCGAGACGGACAGGAAATGATGTCAGACATTCTCATGCAGACTCTGACAGGCGTAACACACACTCACAATGCATGCCGAAAAGCACAAGATTACTCAAACAGCATAAATAAGCGCATGTGACTTGTGTTATTATAAGATCTTTTTCTCAGTTAATATTCTTGTTGTGATTCTCTTTCTATCTTTTCTCCATCTTTTCCCCAACATTTAAGCCCCCATATTCTCCCTCGAGGAGCATTAAATGTCAAGTGAGTGGGAAAAAGAAAGACGGTAGAGGGTTATGAGTGTCTTTCAGTGCGTCAGTTTAAGTCTGTGTGTGCTTTAGCCAATTTGTGTGCATTTGCATGTGAGTGAGTCATCACATCAGGGCCTTAACGCATCAACAGCAGTTAAGCCCATTTATTTTGTAAAGCAGCTCAGCAAGTCAAGGTCAAATCAGACGGTAAACACTCATTGCCTTTCCATCACTCAGAGGGACACTGTAATCACCAGAAATAGCAATCTCTTGCTATTTTATGAAGCATTTCTTGATTTGTACTCATTCCAAGAGGGGCTCATTTATTGTAAGGCAATGAGAGTTTAATTATAAAATGATTTTAAAAGAACTCTTGGGTATTTAGGAACATCTAATTCAAGTAACCTTTTTAAAGAATCATGTTTTTTTTCAGTCAATAAACAACAAATAAAGGGAAACGTAAAAAAACACTGCTACCTTTACACTGCTACCTTTACCATCGTAGGGAAGACCATCCATGCTAAATTGCATTCATTTTTTAATCTGTACAGCTGAATAAAGCAGCAGCAGTTAGCTTACATAATGTATGCTTTGTTACTTGCTAATGTGAGGTACCTGATGATATCTATGATTATGTTGTAAGCTAGTTGTTGTCAGCTAGCATGCTGTTAGCTGAAGATGCTAGTTGGTGATGATGCAGACAAAAGTAAATATTAGGCTCCTGTGTTAAGTGAGTGTGTGGGTGCAGGTAAAGTGTTCTCTTTGTCGTGAGTCCAACTCATTTACCTGAATTAGCATTTAGCATCAGAACATGTTGAAGACAGATGGAGCATTTGATGTCCACAGATTTAACAGCTGTTACTTTTGGTATTCAAACCTTTTTTGATGTGAGATTATTTAGATGGCTCAACTGTTTAAAGTCTACTTTTTTAATGCTGGTTAAGTTATTTTCTATTAGAGCTCAATCAGTATTGAGTCATGGGGTAAGGAGATGAGTGTCTGTTTGTATAGAGCTAATGATAAAGCCACTAGAATAAACACAGAAGTGACTGTGAGAGGTGGGCAAAAGAGAAGCTTACCATGGGATTAATGCACACACACACACGCACACACACAACATGTTGTAACTTGAACTGCTGTCTGAGTCTCAGGCGGCAAGACGACATAATCAGCCATGTGTTGTGAGAGAGGTCGGGTTTGTTTCCCTGCTGTGTATCTTTTTCCATATCCTGTGTTTATGACCCCTCTTTGCCAATGCAGCCAACAGATGTAGACTTAACTCATTTTATTCCCCAAGCTTTGACTTTTTCATTTTTTCTCAATAATTTCTGACCTCACCCAAACTAAACATTTAAATTCAAGTAAGACCTTTATTCAAATCTATTTGAATGTCTTTCTTTCTCTTTTTTTTCCTTCATGTTTTGCTCCGGCCTCGTCTTCCGCCTCTGATTGGCTGATTTGAATTTTCAAAAAGTGACCAATCCCCCTTCTTTCATCCTCAGAGACACAGGATGTAAACTCATCCCTCCCTCCTTCCTTCCCCTCTTTTCTTCATTCCTTATCCCAAAAACAACCAGATGGTGAGACAGCAGTGGAGAGACAGACAGCAACAGCCGGCGGAAAGCCCTTCGGAGAGTGACATCACAGTCTCACTCTGAAACTCTCTCTTAAAGGGTATAAAGGCCTCATTGTATCCTCCATCACATGGAAAAATGTTGGCGGAACGTTGTGAATTTGACAGAGTGCATCCATGGTCCAGGGTCAGTGTGACAAAACACTCACACAGAAGCTTTAGTGTGTTCGTGCATAACGGACCTTTTCCTGGGTTCCTGATTGGTATGACTGGTGTTTACAGTATGTGCACTGTGAAGGACGCTAGTAAAAGAGAGCGTTATCTAAAAGTACAATTGTGTGTAGTTAGTCTTTAACACGTGTTTCTTTAGTGACAGAATGATGGATCTGTGTATGTTAACATGTGTGAGGTCAATTGAAAGGCATAATGCAGTGCTCAGTGTTTCTCAGACAGTGGGACTAGCACATATATACATTTGAAACAGGGAAATTCCTTATGCAAATTAGAGGAAGCCTGGCTTGACCACAGTCTTGTGACTTTGACAGTGTGATGAAAAGGATCATAAGAACTGTCTCACAAAATATAAACAACACCAGAAACAAAACCGCATGTTGTGGCAACATTCAGACATAATTAAAGTCCTTATTTTGAGATATAGTGATCAAGGCTTTTTCTCTGCTATTTTTAACTTAAGTCTGGTCAGAGCCCGAAAATACATTAGATGTTCCTAACAAGATAATTTCTGCTAGTTTAATGTAAAAGTTGTTATAATATAATTTACTAAATGCAAAAAAAATGTTTTTACACAAGCAAATCTTAACAGTGAACTAAACTGAAGAATAACAATGTCTAGTTGAGATTTAGGATTAAGGGAACATATCCTTATTTTAACATTTCCACACAAACCGAATTTTCGTCTTTTTCTAAGACATTTAGAAGAAGTGGAAATACCATTCTCATTTTTTTTTAAATTGTAGTTAACTAAGAACTCAGAGCTTTTTGACAGAAGACTTTGCACTTTAAATTAAATAATTAAGCTTCACTAGACATCTTTTTCCAGATTTCTCATTTCCCAATCATGCTAATACTGTACCTAACATTTCAGAACCTCACGGACACTTACTTTGACGTCCTGCTCCAGTGTTCGTATCAGTTCTCCGTCCACCTGCCCTGTTTGGGCCACGCGCAGAGAGCGTCGCTCTGCTTTCCTCAGCCGGTACTGCAGGATGCGGCAGGTCTTGTTAGCCTGAGAAACAGCAGCAGTGTGAGTGGATGAAGCTGTTTCATATTAATTATGTAGCTTCAAGGGAAATTCAACAGGCAGCAGTCATTAAAATACAAAAGAAGAAATACAGACATCCATAATGCACCAGGACTTGTGTAGCACCTTTGTCTCAAAGATGACTGAAAGATTCAGATGATTGATTGTCCATCATTTTACTTCCCTGCTTCCAAAAATGTGTAGCATCCATCTATTTTATACATGTAAAGTGAGGCACTGCAAGTATATGGGAAAGTATTTTTGACTTAATTAAGTTCCTCAGTTGGTAACATTAGGACAAACGGTTTTTGAAATGCATTAAAAATATGAAAATAAGGCAGTGTCTTATTAAACACATTTCCAGAACAAAAGTAAGAGCATTGGATAAAGCAACATTTCAATTCTCTATATCTCTTTGTATCGCTCTTATCAATCAAGAACTACTGTCAGCCATTAAAAAGCAAACTGAAAGATTTGGGGTATGTAAGTGCAGCTAGAAGTTTGAGAAGTAACTCATTTTGAGAACATTTAAAAAATATTAACTAAAAGATATCAACACAAAACTTCTCCAGTTGTAACAAAGCCAATATTTCAGCATTTTTCTAAAATGTCCTATTTGAATATAAGTTGAGGCATTATCTAATGCTAACTTTTGGTGGAATTAGTATAAATCTAAAAAGTATATAAACAACGTTTTTAAACACCTATTTATTTTTATTTTAGTCTGAAAGAAGACATGTTAAAGAAGCAAAAATGCCCAAATCAACCGGTGTATGAACAAAATGCTTTTGCCTCAACGACTCGGCATAACATTTCATAACAGGATATAACAAAAAATGAGGTCACAGATTAATTGAGAGAGCTTTCATTTATCCGGCTAGTCCTGCACAGTCTTACCTGCTCCATCTGTTGCCGTAGGTCCTGCAGCTGGTAGACGTCGTCCTCCATGTACATGTCCCTCATCTCCAGCATCTCAGACCTCAACTCCTCCATCTCATCCTGCTCACAGACAAGCAGAGAGTGTATAAGTGCATTTGTCATTTTAACACTACTCCTGCAAAATCAACCTGCTGTCTGGTGTTGTAGAGACTCTTAATTGTAACTCGAAGTGCATTATGCATTATGTGGGCCATAAAGGGAATGCTTTAATGTTTAATAGGAACCATTAGCATCTTTGTGCTAAATGCAAGACAACCATCATCATCATCAAAACATTGTCATCCATTAACCTTGTTCATAATGCATCCCATAAATCACTGATGTTGTCATTAGCCACCACATTTTCATCTTCATCATCATCCTCATTATCAGCCTTTACAACAATGAGTGTCTTCTTAAAATAAACTGCCATGTAATATTCTCCCAAGTCAGATAAAAGGGGTCATCAGAAGCAGAGATCGAGACGGTGTAAGTGGCAGAATGATGCACTAAGTAATATAATATGATACTGTATTGATTTTCTTCTCTGGCTCGGGCACAGGAGGTCAAAGGTCAGGGTCAGGTTATCAGATTGCCTGAAGAGACTCTTACCCTGCTGGGAAACTGGAGAAAAGGAAATTCCTACACTATGAAAATTGTGAGGTAAAAATATCTAAACAAAAGGCTTTCAAAAATATAGTATGGAATACAGATCTCTTGTGTCTTTTAAATATAAACGTTAGCCTAGCTTTTCTAACACAACTGATTTGGCAGAAACTACTTTCTGCCAAATCTACTACTTTTTGGGTAAATGGTGGGCCATTTTTACAGAAAAGCCTATCTGGCATGCTGGTTGGCATGAAGGATGCAGGCAATCAGAATTATTTGCGTCCAACCCAGCAGGTTAGCGAGTACAAGGGTAAACAGTGGATACGCTCCATGCAGCCAGGGCCGCCTTAATGCACGGGCTGACCTGGGCTGAAGCCCAGGGGCCTACGGAGATCGGGGGCCTATCATGAGCCAATAAAAAAAAATTAAAATTAAAAAAAAAAAAAATTTTCGTATGTTTTTTAAAAATTTTAAATAAACAAAGTCTTGGCTTTCAGAATATGCAACTTTTATTTCCAAAATCACACGATAAATACATTTTTGAAGCTTGTAAAGGGAAGAAGACAGCTCTCCCTCGCCACTCTGCTGTTCCACTCCCTCCGCTGAAATTATGAATAAGGCGTATAGTAATCATAGATAACACGGCAGGGTCCGTTACAGTTTGTTTTTATCTGATTTCAAATAAACAAAGTCTTGGCTTTCAGAATACTAAACTTGTTTCGGCAAATTCAGATGATAAATACAGCTTTGAAGCTTGTAACGGCATAATTACAAGCGGAGAACGGAGTAACTTGCCGTCACAGCAGGCATAACAACAGCCGGTGTTTCTCGTGAGTGTTTTCCCCGGGAAACAAACACAACACACACAAACGCAAAAATACACAAACACACACACATATATATATACACACACACACACACACTCGCTTCCCCCAGACCAGTAATCCAAACGAAAATATCTTCCCTCCGTAGTATTTTGATCATTTGCTCCGCTAATCAATCAGATCGATGGATTCCAGAGATTTTTCTCAAAAATGATGACTCCGAAACAGTCAGTGGGCGCCACTTAACAGCCAATCAGAATGAGAATATGTTTCACATGTGACGTATTTAAATTGCGAGTGATTGAGTGACAGATGAAGGCTGTTTAGGAGAAAATGTCGGAGAAGAAAAAGTTTGAGAGTGGCGCTCGGAAAAGGAAATTGTTGAGGGAAAAGGAGTTTCGAGACAAGCAGCTATTACAAAAAATGCCGAAGCTTACAGGTTATTTTAAACCTGTAGGATGAGGAGGAAGGACAGATGAGTTCTGTACCAAGCGGCAGCGGTGCCGGCCGCGGGGCCTCGGAGCCAAGTAGGCCGTCTGGTTCTGATAGCGATGGAGTAGCGGGAGAGGAAAAACAGACAGGAGGGACATTATCTGTTGGAGGAGATGGAGAGGACGATGAGGACTTGCTACGTGGAGGGGAGCCAACGGCAACCGGACAAATACATGAGGGAGGCCCGATACGTCACTCACCTGGAGGAGAGGACCAGGCGCGCGTAGAGCAGAGTGGAGAAGTGCGATCACAGAGCATGCCGAGGAAATTACTTTGATTTGTTGTTTAAATAGGGGGCCTACAAAACCTATCAGCCCCAGGGCCTGATGGCAGGTTAAGGCGGGCTTGCATGCAGCCCACCACCTTCATCAGGTTCCTGTCAGTCAACATGTTAAACCTTTGTTCCAACATGTCAATAGATGCATGCAAGAAACCAGGTCCATAGTAGGGCTGAACAATTAATCGTCGAAATCGCGATTTTAAATGATGCAATTATCAAATCGCAAAGCCTGCGATTTTGTTGTTGTTGTTCTTCTTGTGTGTCAGTCATCCACACCAATCAGAAGTACTGTGCTCCACATTTCCATGCTTTGGGAAAAAAAATCTAATTGCGATTTTTCTGACCAATATTGCGATTGCGATTCGATTTGCGATATTTGTTTTTAAGCGACCCAACGGAAGTTTATTGTAAAATGCGGCCATATCTCCGGCTAGGAAGGTCGCATCAACATGCTCCCGTCTCTAGCACCCCCGCAGCCCGAGCTACGTTTGAAAGAACTAAACTTACATGAAACTTCCGTTGGGTTGCTTTAAAGTCAAGCTTCAGTTTAAGATTCACCCTGTAATAGATGTAAAACATGTGATGGAGCATTACTAACCTGACTCAGATGGTTTGTTTCACCAAACCATCTAGGAGAGCTCCATTGGAAGCCATTTGGAAAGGGCAGGCACTTTCAAAAATACTTTGCAGGTGATTGGATCAATCTGTCTATCACCTTCTATCATGGGCCACTTCTGATTGGTTAACAATGGCTGGTACATGTGGAGCACAGCACTTCTGATTGGTGTGGATGACTGACACACAAGAAGAAAAAAAAAGAAAAGAAAAACAAATTGTTAAAAAAAAAACAGGCTTTGCGATTTGTTAATCGCATAATTTCAAATCGCGATTTAAAGTCGATTAATCGTTCAGCCCTACTGTAGTGTTTTTTTCAACACTTTTCTAGATATTCTACAGATAAATCATTGATTTCAGCCCGACAGCATACATTGCATCATTCCTTTGATTCATATTCAAGGTGCAGCCCTTGTTTTAGCATGTCAGTGTACTGATATGAACCACACCCCACCAAAAAAAGTATTGCGCATTATGGGAAAGCATGTGTAGGTGTTATGCAACTGTGATAGTGTACTGCAAAACACTGTATGTGATGAGTAACTAATATAGGTAAAAGGGGTACAAGCGAATATAATAGTAAGTAGTAGTAGTAGTAGTAGTAGTAGTAGTAGTAGTAGTAGTAGTGCTGTCAAAATACTCTACAGTGAAGAATGTGGGTCAACCTCTGCAAAGCTCTGACTGTAGCAATAAGGAACTCTGGGGATGTGCGTGTGTTTATGTGTGGATAAAACAGCTAGAGAGTACGTGTGAGTCGGCTCTGCTGCTACTACAGTATAAACTATTTGTGTGAGTAGGATTCGTAAGCATGTTAATAATTAAGGTTACGTTTGTGGATTAGCATGCAGCAAAGGGAGTGCTTCTCTGAGTTTGTGTGTGTGGGTGTGTGTGCAAAATCTTGTGAAAGATATTTGTTGATGGAGCTAAAATGGACTGCAGCAAGGAGCAATGTGCAGGACTGACCACTTCATATCTGCAATACAGAGGAGAGAGGGGGCGGAGAAGAAAGTAAAGAAGGAAAGGTGATATAAAAGGAAAGGAAAGAAAAAATGGGGAAAGTAAAAAGAGAGAAAGAAATGTCAAGGAAAAGAAAGATCAAAATAGATCAGAGAGGTAGGGAAGGAAGGAAATGACAATAAAGGAAAGGAAATGGGAGGATAGGAGAGGAACAGCAGGAGGAGAATGAAAGAAAGAAAGAAAGAATATGACATGAAAGGTATTTCAAGAAATGAAAAATGAGAATACAGAAAAAAAAACTGAGATGCGAAAAACAGAGCGTGAAAGAAATGCAGACGAGAAGGGAGATAAAACACGACAGCAGAGAGCGAGAAAGTGAGGACACGGAACGAGGGAATCACAAGTTAATGTGGCGAGAGACTGCGAGAGAGAGAGGTGGTCCACTGACCTGCTTTACGCAGCTAACTGAAGGAGAACAGGGAAGATGGTGTGTGTCATGTGAATAAGAAACCAGTCAGGAGATTGAATCCCAATCAGATGAGAGCGAGCCAGGCAGGTCAATGTCAGAAATCCGAGCTCCAGCACATCTGCTGTGAAAACCGTTTGTCTAACTGACGAAAGGGAAAATATGTTTGTGTTTTGTTACCTTGACAAAGAAACATAGCTGTTTCCCTCTGTTTCCAGTATTTGGACTAAGCTAAGCTAACCGGCTGCAGGCTGTAGCTTAATATTTAGGGTTTGGCTTGGTTTGTTTTGACCATGCAGTGACACTGAAAGCACTAAATAAAGTTGCTAGGATTCAGTGATTAGTTCACAATTATTATATTGATAATGTTGATAATCAATTAATTTGTGATTTTTAAAGAAAAAAAAGTTAAGATGATCTGATTCAAGCGTCATCATTGTGAATATGTTCTTGTTTCTTCACTACAGTAAACTGAATGTATTTAGTTTTAGATGTCATTTTGGGCTTTGGAAAACACTGGTCATCCTTTTTCACTATTTTCTTATTGATCAAACAACTTAAATAATCAACATTAATATAATCGTTAGCTGCAGTGCTACTACTTAAGAAAGCATGACACAAGATACATAAAAGCATCCATCATGTGTAGGGTTGGGAACCGGTTCCGGTTCGGAACCAGTTCCAACATTTCGATTCCAACGGCATCATTTATACCTCATTCACACCAATGCAACTCCGGTTCAAGCTCCGTGCTAGAGCTTTTCAGGTTCAGAACCAGTTCTTCGGTTTAGCTCTGGCTCTTTTCACACCGCCCAGAGTCCGACTGGTAATGCGTCGT